GGCCATCATCATCTGTATCATCATCGGAACCATCATCATCATAATCAGCATCGTCGGCACCATCATCATCATCACCATCATCAACATCATCATCACCACCATCATCATGTTCATCATCGCCATGGCCCCCATCATCATCACCAGCACCACCACCACCACCATCGTCATCGCCATCGCCGCCAGCAGCATCATCAGGCCGCCGCGAGCTTATGGCCTCTGGAAAGTCGGCGGCCTCCTCCGCAGCACTCCCCCCAAACCCCCCCGACAAGTCGGCTACACGCAAGAGTGACAATGGGTAAGAGTGACCTTTGGTGCGCGGCTTCTGGGGGGCAGCTGGGGGGCCAAGCACAACCGCGCAAGACGCCGCTACTGCATCGCATTCGGCGATCTGGGGACCAATTAGGCCCGCACCAAAGGTCACTCCGGCGAAAGGTCACTCTTACGTCTAGTCGAACTCCCCCCGACCCCCCGACAAGGGGCAGATGGGCCCTCCGACGGCACCCCGCCATGGGGCCGTGCTGCGGGCCGTGCTCCCCGGGGCGTGGGCACCGCGCGCCCGACGCCTGGGGCGAGGCGCCCGCGCGCTCGGGCAGACCGGCAGGAGGCCGCCGGCGCCCCTGTCCGCCACGAAGCCGCCCTCCTCCTCCTCCTCCTCCTCCTCCTCCTCCTCCTCCTCCTCCTCCTCCTCCTAGTACCATTTTGGCTCACGCGCGCTCGCTGCTGGCCCCGCCGCCGACGCGCCGACGCCTGGTACGGCGATGGCTGCCCGCGCGGCACCGCTCGAGGGCGCGCGCGGCGCGCTCCTCGCGGTCCACGCCGCCGCTGGGCTGGCGGCCCGCGCCCCCGCAGGCGGCCGCGACGCGGTGCGCCTGCTGCGCGCGGCTGAGGGCCTCCTCTGCACGGCCGTGGCCGTGCTGGCGGCGCCGCCGCCTGCTCCCGCCCCGCCTGCTGAGGCGGCCGCGCCACCCGCCGCCCCGCGGCGGCGGCGCCGCCCGCGCGGACGAGGCCGAGGAGCAGCCGCGGACATGGCGCCGCTCGACATGGAGGTGGTCGACGACGGGGGCGGGGCGGCGGAGGGTGCCGCGCGGGGCGCTGCGGCTCCCGATCCATCGCCCGTGCCGATGCTGGAGGACGACAGCTGGGCTGATGCTCTGCCGTTGGTGCAGCGGAGCCGCCCGCCATCCAGCGCGGCCTCGCGCGAGGGCAAGGGCAAGAACACGGGCAAGGGCGGCGAGCACAATGACAAGAGCTGGCACGCTGGATTGGAGATCTGGCAGCTTCGGAATCTCGTCCGCCGCCTGGCGACGCGCGCGAGGCTCCCCAAGGTGCCCGAGATCCCGTTCGACCGCGACGAGCTGATCGCAATGGCCAGCAACTTCGAGGAGATGCTGACCGCGTACGACGGCCCCCGCGCAGGTCGCGGCTCGGGCACGTGACAAGCGAGCTGGGCGTCGACATCGGTAAGCCCGTCGCGCTCGGCCTCGCGGCCGGGGGCCCTAGGCAGCCGCACGGCGCAGGGCCCCCGTTCAGGGGAAAGCCGTCGACTGCATGCAGTTCACGGTCGGGGGGTCTGGCTCCTCAGGTGGAGACCAGGCCCCCCGCGGCGGGAGGCGGGGAACACGCGCTCTCCTGAGACTCGGGGATCCTCCTCCTCCTCCTCCTCCTCCTCCTCCTCCTCCTGCTCCTCCTCCTCCTCCTCCTCTTCCTCCCCCTCCTCTTCCCCCTCCTTGCCCTCCTCCTCCTCCTCCGAGGGGCCAGCTCAGCCAGAGCACGCCGAGCGTGGATGGCCGCAAGCCGGAGGACGTCACGGGCGAGGAGCACGCCTGCCTCGCGTCCCTGCACAGCGACGTGGGGAACCACCTGGCCACGAAGCACTTCAGCATCGAGGGGGCGCTCGACCTCCACGCGCTGCTCTCCGCGCCCCTTGGGGCCCACCCTCAAGTCCGCGAAAATTTGCGATCACATCCAGCTCTACGAGCGGAGCATCTTCTTCACGGACTCCTGCGATGAGTTCGTGCCCGAGTGGTTCCACAAGGGCGTGGTAGATTCCGAACTGCTGCCGCAGAAATCACTTGCCAGAGCCCGCAACAGAAAAAAATCATGCGTGTGAGCAATGATGCATTTCGTCAAGCACTGCCTGCAACTGTTCGCGGGGATTGCCGAGACGCAGGACGCCCACAACAAGCTCCATGAACAGCTTGGCAAGTGTTCCCATCTGGACGTGCAGCAGAGTGGTGCCGAGGACGAGACTAACATGAATGGCGTCTCTTGCGCGCACCACTCGCGGCCCCGCTCCCAACGAAGATATCTGCGCCGAGCTCGAGCGGCACTCCGGGAACAGCATCAAGGGAATCGTGGGCCACTACTTCGAAACGTGCCCCAATTCCAACACCTTCAACTCCAAGGCGGACGCCCTACTGGACTACACGTTCGTGAAAGAGCGCGGCAGCTCACAGTCCACGGCCAGGGGGGGTCCTCCGTGGCCCCTTCACAATAGATG